AGACCGACTGATTCAGTAATATACAACAGTTTCAATTTCAGTATCAGTTATGGCACAACAGTGAATAACTGAGTGCAAAATATATTGAGAGTCCAGCAATAATAAAGGCAGTATCTGAGTGCACAACACATACCGAGAGTTCAGCAATAGTTAGTGCAATCAGCAACACTGAAACATTGACCCAGCCCACACACAGTTCATTAAGACCCACGTCTGGGTTTGACCGTTAATCCAGAGGGAGGTAAAGTGCACCAAGAGTCTGTGAGGGGAATGTGTGAAAGTCAGCAGTCAGTGGGCATGTGGGTGTGTGTTGGGAGAGTTTTGAGGGCTGCAAAGAGCCCCCTACTGGCCTGGCAGGAGAGGTGCAACTCTCAGGTAGGTACTCAGGTACTCAGGTAGGCTCTGTGGGCTTGAGGCCTGCTCCTACAGCTCGTCATCAAAGAGTTGGAACGTGATCAGTTTTCATGGCCTATGCCTTGCATACAAGCCCTTTAACTCAGTTTGGGATGAGACAGAAGGCTCCTTCAGCTCGACTCTCAACCAGCTCCCAACAGCTCCTAACTCAGACTGAATCACAGCGGCATAATAACCTTACAGGACTTGCATGGTACCGCATGACCGTGTGACGTGACCGAGAGCATAACTATGATTTGCTTAACTGGCCCAAGTGATCTTGTGACGCAATAGTAAGAGACAGGGATAAAGAGAAAGGCATACGTTTTACACCAGATATGTCAAACTCAGGCCAGCGATATAATATCATACATGTATTAGAGTTGTCCCGCCAGCAACAGATAGAGAGATTATTTATTTAAAATGTTGTTATTATTTTATATTCTGCTTGTTCTGGATTCAGTGTTTAAGCAAAACTATTATTAAATATTTATTTTAATAAGAAAAGGTTTAACATTGGGCCCGGTCAAGCAGAAGTAAACAACAAGGCCAAAAATTCAAGTTAATTCATCTGATATAAAAATGTATTGAACAGATACATATGTACTCTAGTTTATGAAACTGTTGACCTTTTTTCTGTACCATTTTTGGTTCTAAAGTTCCATATGTTTTAAACAGACCATGTATGAAACATGGAACAAAAATTATTTCCCAAATTTCAAAGACCTGCAAATCATGTCAATAAATGGATGTATTTCATCATATCTTGTGTTATTCCATCTTTGAACTGTTGATGAAGGTACATGATTAAAAAAACAAAATAAAGTATTTAAAATGATAAAAATTTGCTTGGAAGGACTGACATATTTTATAGAAATAATTTCCTTTCATTTTGAAGTAATATTAAAGTTTTCAGAAGAAAAAAGCGACAAATGATGTAAAATCCTGCACCTTCTACTTGTTTGCACAATTTTCCCTCCGTTACTTTTCCCTCCGTTACCATGACCTTTCTTAATAAAAAATCTCATGAGTCAAAAAGTAAGAGGTTTTTCAACCTAATCTTGTACCATATGGTAGAAAACTATATGAAGCAAATATTCAAACCAGTTTGTTAAGGATATGGAAGTGAGAACCAAGAGTTATCACTGTTTGGATTTATTGCCCAAAAAGTGCTGCATATTTCATTCCCTCCGTTACCGACATGAGTTTTTAAATTTTTTGTCTTGAACTTGAAAGAATATCACAGGTTTAACTTGACCCTGTTGGAGTGTAACTCTTTCCTACATTCTGATACTTTACTTATTTCAATAGTCCCTCTAGTTTCTGAATAAGAGACATTTGAATGTCAAAAATCTGCCCGTTTCCCTCCGTTACCACTTGACTGAACCCCATTACATATCTCGAAAGAGGAGAAACCATGCAGGTGTTGTTGAAATTTTTCAATAAATATTTATTTTGGCTCACAACTTGGTCCCAGTTTTTAATTTTGGCCTCTGTGAATTTGAGTTTGATATCCCTGTTTTGTCACCTGGGTTACATATTACTCAAATAGAAGGAGTGGTTCAAGAAAGTCCTTTTTGTTGAAAATCAAACTCCTAAACAGGACCACGAACACTCAGACTGATCACAGGCTTCTGAAAATCCTTTTTGTATTTTCTCTTGTGTTTTCAGGCTATCTTAAAACACATTTGTTAGTGTTTGCAAATATGTGCATTGTATCACCATGGTAACTTCTTATCATTCTGCCATACACACACAAGGAGAACACCCCCAGCGCGATGTCACTGCGTAGTATCAATTATCATCAAGTTCTACTATATTAACATTAGCACTCCCCCATTTCCGTCTCAAAATATGAAATCCTGAAGCGTCCAGTCCAGCGTGTGTGATCTTCCTGCTCCTTTATTTGGGAAGTAGGCCTCTTAGCTTGTGTGTTTCGTTTGAACCTTTTGAGCGTAGGATCGGCGTGTCCGTGAGCTGCGCAGGTGAAGGAGTGGAACTGACTTCAAACGCAGAGCTGGAGCCCATCGAGCAGCGTGGATTATACAACGCACTCAATCTGATTATACTCTATCTGTTTGTGGGTCTGTGGGCACACTGTGAGGACTCAAATCTGTACACACACTTCCTTAAAGGCGCAGTATCCGATTTCTTTTAAAAATGTGAAAAACAGAAGCAGTTCACTCACTGTATTTATTCTGAGCATCTTAATTATTCACCAAGATAAGTTTATGAGCATTTTTCGCAGCTTTCAGAGACCAGCGCAGAGTTTTGCTGTGACGGTAAAGCTAAAAGCAACTAGTATGCTAATGTGCACTTCCTGATTCTTGGACAGTAAAAAGCGTCTGTAACCAAGCCACCATACAGTAAACAAGGGCAAAAAATTACACTATAATTGGGATTAGATTAATTAAAAAAACACGTTTATTTTTTTAGTATCCTCTTTTTTCTGTACATGTCCTCCTTTTGAAACCCAAAAAAACATCTGGGAGGAATTTCTAAATTATGCCAAAATGTCAGGTTTTGACTCTTTTTTTGAGTGTTTTGAGTGGAACAGTCTTGACTCATGTGATCAGATACAATCATGGATCTATAAGATCATCTTACACTTCCATGGACACAATCACCGACACTTCTCCAGTACCTTGTGTCTAAACTCTGCCTTTCCCCTTGTCGCTCTCATGCGCTCTCACAGCGAAGGCATAGACCACACCTTTGATCAGAAAATGCACCTACATTTATTAATTTATTATGAAGGCATATTACCTTCTGTGGAGAGGTTGGATACAAGGGTGTAGGTTTGCACAGGGACGGTGGGGACACGTCACAACCAATGTTTGGGGAAGACAAAATACTCCCAATATTTGACATTTTATTTTAATAAACAAAAATACAAATTTATTCCGATATTCTGAGATGTATTCAGTAATATGACGACAGGGTTACCCCTGCTGTTATTTCACTGGCTGCAACAGAGTGATGTCATTAGTGGTGCCAGGAGTCTAAACTGGGGAAGCGGCAGGACAGGGCCGCACCTGAAGTCGGCTTGAGCAGGCGTCAGTGAAGAAACTTTGAAAAACTTCTCAAAAGGAACTTACTTGACTTCATCTTCAGTTAAACTTGTCTTATAATGAGTTGCGGTGGAAAAAGAGTGACTATTGCCACAAGTGCATCTCCCAAACAGAGCCCTACTGACAATATTCCGTGGAAAAATGTACGGACATGACCTCACAAATATCTCATCACCAACAAGCAAAGAGAAATCTGCTACAAACTTCTACATCACTGTTATCCACTAAACAATCATCTTAGAAGGACAATGGACACAAACTGTACATTTTGAACTGAAAAATGAAACCAGCTCTCACTTAGACTCTGTGTGTTTTTAGAAAGGATCCATAAAACATATGGGGGAGGAAGCTGATAATGTCCCCACCAAAGCTGAGACCAAACCTACGTCCTTGGTTGGATGAACATGACGCAGTTCTTCATGTGTCAAACTCTACACCACTTCTTATTTGATGAAAACTGACCTCATATAAGTGGAGATACAATCATAAATCCCAGATGGAAAAGTCTGAAGCATGGCAAACTCAGATGCACGTAACCCTGACACACACACATTACACGTCCTGATAAAGGCTAAAGTCTGTAGTGTTTGTCTTGCTCTGAATCACAGACTAAAGCCTCCTGTCTGTGAGATGAGACAAGAGCAGGGTTCTTATCGGAGCAGAGGACAAGGGACATAGACACTGAATAATAACCCATGAAAAAATACATACAGGCTACTTTATCTTATATTACTGAGTTATGGCTTAGTTGAGCTCTAAAATCCAATGAAATACAGTAAAATTCTCCTTTTGAAAACCTCAGACCCCTGATATACATAATATGAAACATTTGCAATGTTAAATCCAAGCACCCATCAGAAAGTACCGCTTACAAAGCATAAACATCGCCAAGGATTTTGCCCTCGAACCCGGTGTCATCTTTTTTGATAACCCCAATCTGGTCACCCTATGTTAAATGCATGTTTAAATGGCCAGAAAAAGTGTTATGTGTGCACATTTTGGATGGAAGTTTTGGTGTTAATTGCATGGGTAAACATATGGGCATGTGCTGATGTTACACATATTGTAGCAAATATGTAAATAATATAGTACAGAGTCCTGCATGGGTCCATTTTTGGAGACCCGCACCCGCCCGTTAACCCGTGATTATATTAAAGTTAAACCTGCACCTGCCCGGACCTGTTAACATTCCACCTGTTAACCGCCCGTGCCCGTGATAAATCAAACACAAATGAAAAGCATTCTAACTGAAGCATCCATCAGAATGTGAATAAAAAAGTTGCGACTTCGAGAATTACAATCACGAAATTAAATTAAACGGTTTCGCTTTCTTCAGTACGAACACAAATTCACAACCGAGACTCGACTGTCATCACTTCACAGGCTTTATTTACTGAATAGAAGAAGCACACCACTGAACCAAGACTAAACCAGAACTGAACCAGGATTCACTGTCTGAACAGGCCCGGAGGTGAGCCTGCGTAGTTTGACGGGTGACCGCAGGTGTTTGTACCAGCGCAGAGCTCCATGCCACACGGAGGTAAGTGCAGCTGTTGCCCAATCGTGCTTTGAGGACACTCTGCTCCGCGGGCTTGGGTTTCGTTCTCTCTCTTAAGTCCAAGATTCGTCCTGGTTTAGTCCCGATTTAGTCCTGACCCGCCCATGTGTAATTACTACCCGTCCTCACACCCACCAGTAAAATTCCAGAACATTAAAACCCACCCATTTCAGCAACTATTTCCCATACAGGACTCTGATATAGTAATAATCTGTCATACAATAGGATTACCAGTGTGTAGGCCATGGGTCTCCAATCTTTTTCCTTTTGTGAGCTACTTTTTGTAAAAAAAGAAAATGCCAGAGAGCTACTCATTTTTGGGGTCGCCAGAAATGTTTTAAATATAAGAGCCATGGTACGCCGAAGATGAGGTAGAGTTAGATGCCTATAAAACATAACTCATTATCCAATTATCAGTGTACAAATTTAGGCATAAACAAAATACATTTACAAAGGAAAGAGGAATTTAATCAATCAAATTTGACTTATTCAGCCCATTATCTCTAATGCATAAATCCCTTGGCGAGGTACTTGGAAGGAGGTGAGGAGCTACTGATAACTCCCGAGCTACAGGTTGGAGACCCCTGGTGTAGGTTATGTCTCACTAACTGTCCATCACCGCTAATGTTAGTTTATCCGAGTTTATTACCTCAAACTTGTACACTTTTTAAAATGACGGCAATCTCTTTTTAACGGGCGTCACTGCTAAAAAAAACGAGTGCTGTTAACTTTATTTTCATTCAGGTGATGCACCTTGGACCCAGAAGTGACATCACACTTACAGTCCATGTATTTTCACTTTTCTTTTCAACCTTTTTTTCCATAGCCTGCCACTTAACTAATGTAAAACTGTGAGAAGTATTTACCCCAGGTCGCTTACTATCCCACCCACACAAGTAATGATTAGAAAAACCTGTCCTATGCATTTTAAAGGGACAAAATCAATTCCCCGCGATGTAAACTCTTTATTAGATCTGCAATATGGTGCACAGTAGAGCGGGGCAATTATTCACATCTGAACTGAAATGGAGATTCAGTCATGTCTAAATGTCAGTGAGCAGCTTGGGTCTTTTTAATGGAGAGATCTTCAGCGAACTCTCTGTAAATAAAACATATGGTTTGGAGATCAGACAGGGAGAAATTGGGCTGTTGAAGTGCACTGATTACAAGTCTGTGCAATTCCTTTTCATGAAATCAATAGTGAATTTGTAGTTTTTAATTCAAATGTTATATGGATCGAGGAAACTAACGCTTTGCCTGTCTTGCTCTGGGTGTTTTTTAAGATCAGATACAAGTTAATTTTAGAGTTTAAGTTAAGGTTAGGCAAGTAGTGACTATTAAAGGGTCCATATTACGCTATTTTTTTGATCTATGTTCTAATGTAGTTTTCTCATCACAAACAGACCTGGAGTTGTTGTGTTTTGTTTCATTCACACATTTAACACACAAACCCGGCAGATTTAGACTCTTAGGTTCTTCTTTCAAACAGAAATCACTCTGGTCCACCTTGTGATGTCATGTGGTAATACAGGAAGCTCTCCATGTATTTTTAACAGAGCATTTTGAGCTTTGCAGATGCAGACAGACTAATAATAAAGTGTTACTCAAACATGTGTGAATGAAACAAAACACAACTCCAGATATGTTTTTGATCAGATAACAACATCTGAACGTGGATTAAAATTCACAAGTTAATTTTGCGTAATAATAGGACCTTTAAGATTGGGATAAGTTACTTAGTTAAATCTTTGGTCAATTAACATAATCATCAATCATATTACAATGTTTTAACACAGAAATTACGTAAGCACTAAAGTTATTCTACAGAATGAAGAGGTTTAGGTTGAAGTTTAACACTTATTTTGTGAAACCATATTAACATATGGAATGAGATGGCAAGATGGCAGAAAATCTGTTAAAAAAAGAAAAAAAAAGAAAAAAAAAAAATCTTTTATGAGTGCAGAAAAGAATACCTAGTTAATTCTTTTGGTATACACACATACACAAATACAGACACACAATCCTTTACACATCAATGCTCTTGCACAAAAACACACTCATCCATGTACACATTAGTATTCATACATATTATTATACACATACACATACACAGGTACTTTGTATAATTGATGGTTGTAGTTAATCTGTAAGATCCAGAAGGTAAACTACTCTATATGATTTATTGTATTTCTCTATATTTCCCTATACTGTATTTTTCAGACTATAAGTTGCACTTTTTTTCATGGTGGTCCTATCCATGTGCGATGTATTAAAATATATAATTTCACATGTTCGTTATTTTCACACTGACAGCCACAAGAGGCTCTAGTCTTGTGTGTCAATATCTGCTACTACTATTACTCCTAGGCCACTGTTACTTCATTCTACTGTGCATGTCTCCTGCAGAAAGAGCCTCTGTCCTGTCTGTGTCATGTCAGTGTCTTGTGGGATTTCAGTGGCTTTCAGGGTTTCCCAGGGGGCGGGGCTAGGCATATCGATTAGGTATAAGTGGATGTGCGACTGCTGAAGTTTGAGACATTTCTTCTCGTCATTTACGCACTCACCTGCATTTAACACATATGGGTCATTAAGACGTATCCCACTCATTAATGTTATTTTAGCATCATAACTTAATTTATCACACGGTAATAAACTGTTAATCATATTCTGCAGATTAAAAGATGCAGGTAGAGAAATGAGGAGCCGAAAACGGTAATCAAGCAGCAGAAAGAAAGTTCGGATTGAGCGAGAAACTTGAGAGGGACTGGGGCGAAAAGCAGAAGATACTCTAAATGCAATGAAGAAAACAAAAGCTAATCGTGGGTAAAAGGCAGATTTAGCTGGAGTTGGCAGAGTTGCTCAGAAGTGACACAGAGGATGAAGAATTGAATGGATTTAGTGATTTGGAGTGAGATGGAGAGTTTGGTAAACTTGTTCTGTTCTGTTGTTTATGTTATAGTTTATCTGAAGAACTGTTCATATGTGACGTTAACAGTCTGTTCTATTGTTATTACTAGAAGTTGACTTTTAAAATTAAATGTCTGTTCTTGGTCTCTGATGTTATAAAATATCCCCCCAAAAATGTAACTTATAGTCCAAATGCGACTTATATGTTTTTTTTTCTTCATTATGCCTTTTTTGGCTGCTGTGATTTATACTTCAGTGCGATTTATAGTCCAGAAAATACAGTAATTCTGGTCTTTATACAGTAGAACCCACCTATACATTTTGTGTAATGTGTAAATTGTTTTTAGAGCCTTTTAATGTTTCGTTTGTTCCACAGATTAACACTTCTGACGGAGACACATTGACTTTTCAGGCTGGTCCTCACATTATCTATTATTAGCCTGACGTCTGAAACAAAATGAATGCAAGTCAGCGTGATGTCTCCAAAAGCTTGTAAACACAACATGCATCTACATATGAGTGTATGTGTGTGTGTGTGAGTGGGGGGGGGTGGAGAGAGGCTGGAGCAGAGTGTTACTAATGGTTACAGTCAATATGGGACAAAGAGAGCGTGTCATATTGCGCGTGTAAGGTCAGCGGTTGATTGGACTGTGGTTGGAATGATGAAGTGATGAGTCTGTTGCTGTTACTATGCGGGGCGTACGTATGAGTGTTTATATGATTCTGAACTAAATGTCACGTCCGGCACCATGCGTTCACACAAATCATTTCTCCCGTCAATGTAGCATGTAAGAACCAATCACGGCCACAGCAGCTTGTAACCGTGGCGACGAGGAGGAGGGGAGCCGGTGGTGTACTGTGACATCTTTCAGAACACTTTTCTAACTGTCTCCCTTTGCTTCACAGAAAATATTCCACAGTAGGGCATTAAACGGGATATAGAGGATACCACCTGCTTCTCTCCAGTGGATGGATAAGTTTAATGCCGTACTATGTAGTACTGGAAAATCCATGTATCATTCGTTCATTCGTTTTTCAATATAAAACCAAAAGTAAAAACTACTATTTTCTTCATTATTTGTCTCTAAAACCAAAATGAAAAAAAAACAAAAAACGATAATGATTCGTTTTTTTTTTCAGTTTTCGATTTTGTGTTTAAATGAAAAATGGAAAAAATGAATAATGGCCGTTTCCCGTTTACATGTCTTCCGTGACTGCGATGTCGGAATTTTGCACCGCATACGGACTGAACCAGGACTGAACCAGGTCCGGGACCAGAGCGGACTCCGAGCTTTGACTCCAAGCCTCTGCGGGGTCCGAGGCTCAGCTTCGAGCTCCGGCCCTGCCGTGGGTTCTGATCCTCCGGTCTGGTCCTGGTCTGGTCCCGGCCTGGTCCCGGTCTGATCCCGGCCTGGTTCTGGTCTGGTTTCGGTCTCAGTCCCGCTTTGGTCCCGGTCTGATCTCTGTCTCGGTCTGGTCCCGGAATGGTCTCGGTCTCGGTCTGGTCCCTGTCTCAGTCCCGATGTTGTTCCGGTCTGGTCCCATCCGTACACGGTACAAAAGTCTGGCATCGCAGTCACAGAAGTCACATAAACGGGAAACGGCCGTTATCCTTTTTTTCCATTTTTCATTTAAACACAAAATCAAAAACTAAAAAAACAAATCATTATCCGTTTTTTCATTTTGGTTTTGGAGACAAATAATGAAGAGAACAGTTGTTTTTCGTTTTCTTATTTTTGGTTTTATATTGAAAAACGAATGAACGAATGATACACGGATTTTGGAACCTCCACCTGAAGTTGAATTGTTTCCTGTTTCCTTTTGACAAATTCTAAACAGTAAGCCAGTTCAGTTTCCAAATTTTTTCCAGACACCCCAGTTGCCGCCATACTGGATCTAGATGCTAATGTAATATAAATTCCAAAGAAAACATGCAGTCACTACCCAAATGATCAATATCAGGTTTTTGGTGAGTTATGGTTAGTGAAAAGTTGCGGAAAAGCCAACTGCGCTATTGTGCTGGTACACCTGTATGACATACTAGTTGGAAAAAAAAAACAATGGAGTGTTTAAAGGAACCATGTG